TTGATCAGGGTTCAGGGTTTCGGGCTCATGGCCAAGCTCATGACACCGTCCTAGGCAGGCTCACGTCTTCGTGACCCCAAGTTTGGACCGACCTAAACCCTGCGCCTGCACACTTAAAGAACAGGGTTTAGGGTTTAGGGACATACCTGTCCGAGGCATAGCATAGGGAATGCCACTATAAGGAGCCCTGGGAAGGGTGATTTCTCAGTCACCTTAACACTGGCTGAAGACCCATGATCCTTCCGATCGATCTTAACCGAGTCATTTGACTTCTTTTCGGTCTCGGAGTTCTACAGCACGGCTCCAGCTCCATGGGCACAAAGGGTTGGAAGGCTCAGCAAAGCACGCTATGCCTCTTCGTACTACTATGGTCTGTTTTCGAAGCTGGTGTTTACTGTTACCTTGGGCTTCAGGAACGCTACAAATGCAAGCGCAATGTGGTTACCACTCAACATTCTTATGACTACTAGTACAGAGTGTACCTTCAAGGGCTGATGCGCAAGGCAGAAGGGGCTTCAATTGTAGAGCTCCGTCGCATATTCAAAGCCCAACCGCTTTGGCCTACTGTAACCCAGCAATCCTCAGCCCTAAACACCATGACCCCAAACCCCCAATACGCAGAAACCCAGCAACCTGTAGCCCAAAGCGTAGGGTTCAATGTTCAGGGTTCAGGGTCGAGGATACAGGCTTTAATGTTTAGGGTTTAGGGTTTAGGGTTTAAGAGTTTATATAGGGCTTGGGGTTTGGGGTTTAGGGTTGAGGGTGTTTTGGTTTACGGCTTAACGTAGGGCTGAGGCTTTCATGTTCAGGGCAAGAGGGGAGCCCTGATCCGACGCAGCTCAGCTGCTGTAAGAGCTCAAGCTTTCCCTTCTAGCTTTACGGTTCATAAGGCTTCGGGATTTTGGTTTTGGTTTTTGGAGGTCTAAGAGCTCAAGCTTTCCCTTCTAGCTTTACGGTTCATAAGGTTTCGGTTTGTTTTTTTTAGTTTTTTGGGTGTTCTTAGGGCTTTCAGGCATAAGGGATTTGGGTATAGGATACCCGCCCTGAAACCGATGTCAAACCAGCACTCACGACGCCAAGAAGGGAAAAAACACAGCGAAGATGTCATACAGCCTCAATCTCAGCCAGAAAGCTTTGGCAGCTGGCCACCGGTGAGAGCCCACGGCGTACTCGACCTCAACCGCGTTTTGAGTGTTCTTTTTTCTTTGTCACCTCTTTTCCTTCGCCTGATAAGGGTTCTGGAATACCATGTTGGTTGAGGCATGGGACAGGAGCCTAGCATCAGCCTGAGGTAAGGATTCGACCACCACTACCACCGTTTTGAGTGTTCAGGGTTTAGGGTTTATACGGGTGGGCTTACAGGCTTCATAAACCTTCGGGTGCTGTTTTTGTAGGGTATTTTTCTTTGGACTTTCATTAATTGACGGATATTGCCGGGGTCGCACAGGAAAACACTGAACCCAAGCTGTCCTAGTCCTGGATATGGCTGTACTCACAGGCCAATACACTGAGACCTAAGCCCCCGGATCCCGGATTTCAGGCTACAAGCTTTGGCAATTCGGGTTTCGCCATCATGCTGAATGTCCCAGCTGAACTCCAACCCTGCGCCCTCCCTACAAGTTTAAGGATCGGGCTTAGGGTTTGAGGGTTCAGCGTTTCGGAGTTCAGGGCATGGGACCTGTAGAGGCTGGGGGTGGGTATGAGGTTCAGGTTCATGGCCGGGGCCTGACTTTGATCGGGATTTAAGCGCTCAGAAGGACTTTGCGTTTAGGCTTTGGACCTTTCTCGCGGCAGAGCACCACGCCCGTCTCCGCATCGGCGTCGTCCAACGCTATCCAGACGGTGACGGAATTCTCCGCCACGGGAACGAAGTTCTGCGAAATGTACCTGCCGCTCGTTTCGGGGTCCTCGCACCATTAACCCCAAATCTAATCCTTGGACCCTCAGCCTTACCCTTAACTAACCCTGAAGCCCCCGCTCTAAGCATGAATGAACGATGACAAAAAGCACATGACACCATCTTCCCATCACTTCAACATTCCAACACCTCACCCCACCACTCTTCCCCAGACTGCGACACCTTTCTTTTTTTCCACTCTCCAAGACTGTTGCTGCTGCGCTTCATGGCGAATTCTCAAGTATGGGGATACCTTAATGGGGGGCTTGTGATCAAGATCCCACTATCTCTGGTCTATCTTTGGATGCCCTATTTGCTGAAGCTCCATACCAATAGATCACAACCCTGAATCAAATGCTCTGAAACCCGTGTACAAACCTGTACGAACTTCAGAAATCCTAAGTCACCACAGCCTAAACCCGAAACCTAAACCCTAAACCCTAAACCCTAAACCCTCAACCCTCAACCCTAAACCTAAACCCCTAAACCCTAAAGCTCACTCTGCGGTCGAGACTCGCGCTGTCCTGATGATAACCCACACCACTTGCACCTCCACCGCTGGGCTTCAAGATAGGGGGTTTAGGGCTTTGGGGCTTTAGAATTCTATTGTTTATGGCCCTAAACCCTAAACCCTAAACCGTGAGGACTTTAGCCTTTTGGGACTTTGGGACTTTAAGGTTGAGGGTGTTAAGGGCGGATAACTATGGGGATTCTTGTGGCCGATCCTCACCTGCAGTTGAGGGTTTGTGTTGAAACGACTATAGTCTGAAAGTGCAACAACTTCGTCGAGTTTGGGGTTTAGGGCTTAGGCTCTCAGAGTTGCCTAAACTCTGAACTGTGGTAAAAAGCTTAGGCAGTTGGTGGCTTGTGGGGCTTACGGGCATTACGGTACGGAGCTTCGGGCTTCGGCTTTGGGTAGAAGCTGAAGAGTTTAGGGTTTTACTAGGGGTTGAGGGTGTAAACGGATTTAGGATCTTGACGTGGGGTTTACGGTTTTAGTTTAGGGTCACAGGGTTTAGGGGTTTAGGGTTTAGGAGCCAAGGGCTGCAGAGCCCCATGTCCGTTCTGGCCTAAACAGGGAAACGTTGCATATGCCTTTTCAGAAGCTTGGAAAGCAAGCAATTCTGGTTCGCAGGCAGCCGTAAGCCCATAAGCCATGAAGCCCTACAGCCCAGAAAACTTATACAAAGATGCAGACCAACAGGCTGCGATTGCAGGGTTTCAAGTTCGGGGTTTAGGGTTTTAGTGTTCAACCGTAAACAAGCCGAAACCTAGTAAGTGGTTTTTCTGGCTTAAGTCCTAAGTCCTACGCCCCACGCCCTGAACCCGAAACTACAACATTCAAGCTTACGTCATCCCGAAGCGGAAGCCCTGCGCGGCTGAACCTTCAAACCTTGGAACCAAACATAGGGTTTAGGGTTTAGGGGTAGCTAGACCCTAATCCTCAAACCCTAAGCCCCCCCTCAACGCCAACCCCCCCCCCCCTTTGAAACCCTAGCATGAAACCTGCAGGCTTCCAGAGCACGTCATCCTGACCCAGGCGAGTGCTCTTCCAACCTCAGACTTGGGGTTTTGGGGTTTTAGGGGTTCAGGGTTGAGGTGCGAGTAAACCCTGAAAGGCCCCAATGCTGTAAGACACTCGAACATCCCTAAACTCCCTACGCCCCAGACTATGGGAACTGTGGATAAGGCAGGGAGGAAGTCTGGCTTCATTTTCGTGTCTCAACTGGAGAGTCTAAAATTTCTGATTTCGGCGAGTTTGGAACCCAAAGCCCAAAGCTCTGAACTTACACCCGCAGCCCGAGTCAAGCCTCAAACCCACAGCCATATAATAAAGCATGAAACCCCAACAAGACAGAGGACCAGGCCAGACTCCAGAGTTCATTTAGGGTAGCCGTAAGTGCCGAAGCCGAAGCCAGAATCCAAATCAATCGGTGCTAAGCCCCCTGCCTTCCCTGCAGTTTACTTGAGATCCCAAACCCTAAAACCCTAAAAACCCTAAACCCTAAACCCAAAGGCCCTTGCAGAAAGGGCTTTGTCTTTGCAATAACCAGGGGTCCACAGAGAAAAATCCCAAAGCCCCCGTTTAGGATTTAGGGTTCACGGTTTGGGGCTTAGGGTTTGTCCATATCTAGCTGCCCATCAGCTCCGCCGCGAGCTGTGCAGTCCGCGCCCTCAGCGCCACCGCTGCCACGAGCGGCGACGACTTCCTGGAAGCTTCGGGTTTAGAGCTTAAGGGTTTAGGGTTTAGGGGTTAGGTTTAGCGTTTGGGGTTAGGGCTTAAGGGGTTTAGGGGTTGATGCTGGCAGTGATTACGAGGGTTTGGGGGTTGAGGGTTTCGTGGCGTAAGGGGTAGTTCAGGGTTTCATGCTTGGTCAGGAGTCAGAGCGGAAAAGTGTGTGGCTTACTTAGGATTAAAGAGTTTAGGGTTTTGGAGGTTCGTGGGAGGGGATTTACGGCTTAGTCGAGGCTTAAGGCAAGTTTAGGGTCTGGAGAAGCTGAATCACCAGCGATGCACAAAGTCTTAACGGATGCAAACTATCACACCTTCTGGTGAGATTGGGGACTGTGATTGCAGAAAGGGTTGACCAGCTAGGGTTCAGTTCGAGCGAAAGCTATCAGAAGGGACTAATGTGGCCTTGGTGGGGCCATGGTAGTTCTACATTGGACGAGCAAGGTAGAGAGCCGAGATGCCATGCGTTCACAATCTCTCGGAACTTGTCCGGCTTGGAAATGCCCTCCCGCCAGTGCCACTCGTCGGGGTAGATTCCTCGGGCAGGTTGCCGAGTTTAAGGTCAAGGCTTAGGATTTGTGACAATGTCACCTCAGGACCAAAGCCAGCTGAAGGATCACGGGACGGAGTCAACCTGCTTCAAAACCCATTTAACCTACTGCGTCGCTTGAGCCTCCAAGCAACCCTACATGAACCCTAGTTGCAGATATCCTGATTCTAGCCCGGCCTAAAACCGCAACGTACTTGGAGGGTCGGGAGACGACTTAGTAAGTAGGTAATAAGTAGACTTATAAAGGGACCCTAATTGGGGTTATAGTACTTATAAGTCTATAAAATAACCATTTACAAAGTCCCCCGACCCTCCAAATAATCACCAAATCTGTCAGGGTCCCCGAGCCCCTCGGTACAACTCACATCATGAACCTACCCTTCGTAGTGATAGTTGAACGATCACCACAATCTACATCAGGGTCTTGCGATTGGCCGTTTGTTTCTTTTGCGCTACCTATGGAAACAGAGCATCCGAAACCCTGATTCTTAAAAGGTTGGCCATGTATCTCACTTGTGGAGCTGTAAAACAATCCAATAGACAACAAGGCCTATAAAGCTCGATGAAACCCTATAAAGCCAATCGCACCCCCACTTAAGCCCTGATAATCTCTCCCTTACCGGATGGAAAAAGCACTTAGATAGGCAACCTTCACGAGCCCGCGCTCCTCGAACCTGGGTCTGTTTTGGGGCTCAGGGTTGAGTATGCCGCAGGTTTTTGGACTTGCCAGGGGTGTTTAGACTATTAGAGGGTTCCACCGCGGGTTCTATACCTGTTTACCGACTTTTCGGCAATGCAACCCTAGCTGAAAACCGTTGCCAACTATTTCGTGGCCTAAACCCTAAGCCAAAAACCCTAAAATCCGAAACCCTAAACCCCAGAAGTACAACCCTAGCTGAAAAGGCTCAGCTTCCAGTTGGGAACTTCCCGGCGAAGAGCTCCGCGAAGTGACTCCGGAGCTCGGCAGCCGCTTCTGCATCGAGGAGATTCTCCTTAGGTTTCGGAGGGTTTAGGGTTTAAGGTTTATTGTCTCCTTAGGTTTCGGAGGGTTTAGGGTTTAAGGTTTATTGTCTCCTTAGGTTTCGGAGGGTTTAGGGCTTAAGGTTTATTGTCTCCTTAGGTTTCGGAGGGGTTTAGGGCTTATAGGGCTCATAGGGTTTAGGGTTTAGGGCCGTTTAGGGTTCATGGTTTAGGGTTCAGCGTTTAAGGTTTATAGGGTGTGGGGTTCAGCGTTTAGGGTTTAGGGTTTAGGGTGTAGGGTTCAGGGTTTATAGGGGTTTGGGACAGCAGGAAGTGTGCACCCAGCTGTCAAGCAGTGTTGGTCAGGATGTCACAGTGCCTTTCTTCTACGTATGCGGGCTTTATTCTGGGCCCCTAAACCCTAAACCCTGAACCCTAAACCCAAAACCCTAAACCCTAAACCCTAATTGGAGGCTTTATGGGTTGAAGGTCCGGGGTTCTGGCTGGCAGCTCGAGGGTTGAGGGCCTAAGGCTTGAAGAGCTTAGGGTTGTAAGATTAAGGGTCCAATCTCCGTAGAGGATTGTGGACCCTTGATTGATAAACTACGTCTCTTGAAGTTCCTGCTTATCACTTCTAGGCTCTCTACCGGCTCTCTACCCTAAACCCAAAGAACCAAAAACACAAACATCTTTCAATCAGAGGTCTATATGTTTCAATGCTTAAGGTTCCGGCTTTGAGGGTCAGCGCCTTTGGCTTGTGGGATTTTCTACTTTAGAGCTTTTGGGGTTTTAGGCGTAGGTTTTAGTTTTTAGGGTTTCGGGTTTAAGGGTCGGTTGCTCTTCTCGCTAGAAAGTGGGGGGCGTGCTTGGCGGATCGGTAGAAGTCAGACTTACTACTAAGAAGTCCTCCGTATCTAAGGAAACCCGCAAATCACTACCCATCCAGGCTGGGCCCTCGGAGGCTGGGAGTGCTTGCCTTTGATGCGAGATGAAGAGAGGCACTTCGGATTCCACAAACGTTAGGGCGCCCCGATCAGGGCGGAGTCGCTGCAACGTTGCACCGAGCGAGGGCGAGGGCGAGGGCCCCGCTATTCCACACAGAACCACAGCTCTGAAGACTCTGAGCTTGTTTAGGGTTCAGGGTTTAGGGTTTAGGGTTTAGGGTTTAGGGCCCCTTCGCCCCCTTCGGCTCTTCAGCCTCGGCTCATTTTGGTGCCTTTCCAGGCGCGTCTCTCGAGGCGGGGCTCATAATCCGGAGGCGGCCGGAGGCGAGCGACGCGGAGACTTGGGGGACACGCAGGGTTTTTGGGTTTCTGGGTTCTTGCTAAGGGATTTAATTTAAGTTACCATAATAAGGATCGATAGTAAATAATAGGGTTTCCTTACTATGGTAACTTAAATTAAATCCCTTAACAAGAACCCAGGTTTTTGGGGAGCTGGAGGCCCCGGAGGCCGAGCGAGGCCTCGAAGTGGCCTCGGGGGCAAGACGCCGGGGGGCTCCTGTGGGACGCGACAAAGTGAAGCGCCAAACGTCCAGTTCGGTGGAACCGGGCAGGTGCCGCCGAGGCGAAGCCATGAATCCTATTTCCAGACGCTCCTGGCTTCCTTGCAGGTGGGGCAAGTCGTGGATTTGACGCCGGCAGCGCACTCGCCGAAGCTTGCCTGATCGACTGTGCGCCGTACGCGAAGCCAGAACCCAAGCTGCACCATGAACTCTTAACCCTCTGCATGTGGGTAATTCTCTAAATTAGGGTCCCTTTGGGGGTCCTTTTGATAAGGGTGCCGTACTATATTGGGGACCCAAAAAAAGACCCTAACTTAGAGAACTACCCATGTGTAGTCCTACTCTCTGGGTCTCTTTGGGTGCGAAGTCCTAAGCACTGAAGCACTGAAGATCCCAGGGTTTCCTGCTTGTTCCGACTATTTGGAGGTTGCGCTGCAGGGTCCAGTTTAAAGTTTGGGATTTTGAGGTGCAGAGTTGTCGTTTAAGGGTAGGCTTCCCAAGTTCAGGCTGTACACGTTCGGGTCAGGCGTTGCGTTTTCCAAACATGACCCCGACAATATCAGTCACTACAAGCATCACAGTGCCAAGAATCAGCATGGTTACCGGCAATGTGATGGCTCTTACGATCATCGTAATGTTCTAATTGTAGAAATCGTATCGCAAGTGGCATGGTAGTCACAACTATGAAGACTATGGGGTTCTTCAAACAAAGCTATGGCACAAATCGAAACATGGTCAGAATCATCACAACCATGAGAGAGAGCAAGTCATCTTGTCTATCATCACTAATGACTGACACGTTGCGTTTGAGGGTTTACAGTGTCAGGATCATACTTTCAAGATGGCTGTCAACGGGGTCATGGTATTCAAGACCGTCAGAAACTCAAAAATGTTTTCTGGCCTGCCCGATTCGAAGATAACATGGTAAACATCATTGTCTTAGCTGTCTGGTCTGCTGCCGGTGCAAACGGCCTGGGGCCATCTCTCAGTTGCTGCCTGCCCTAGGCTGGAATCAGGAGTATCGGGCGTGGCGATGTATCTACACCATGTTTTGCCTGGGTCTGCGAGAACTGTATAGCAAGTTGTGCCCGATACTTTTCAACAAGAGACGATGCCCTTAGCTGCAGACTGGCTGTGCCCTTCAGCCAAAGAGTTAACATGCCGTCGAAGCTCCACCAGCAAGAACCCATCTTTTTGGAAAGCCCGTCGTTCAGACTCGCTGATCGCCATGGCGAGCCCTACACCTCCGGTAGGGTTCCATAAAGGGGCGATAAGGGATATGTAATCGGGTTCCAGAATATAGCGGCGTTCATAACGCGCTCACCATGTCCATCTTGCAATGCTGCAGGATGCTTAAGAAGGGCTGCAGCGCATGTGACCCGACCCAGATACAAAGCATAGGGCTGAAGTTGAAGCCTCGGGAAACCTTTGAGACGTGGCCTGTCTTGTTTAGCGTTTAGGGTTTAGGGTGTTTCGGGCCTAATATGGGTTTAGGGTTTAGGGGAGGGCGTTTGCTGATAGCCTGTCTGCCCTTGAAGCTTCTTGGCTGTGGCATGAATTTCTCTCCTTACTCGACTCGGTGCAGCCGGTTGACCTACCACCATCTACATCAAGACTGACCAAGCACCCAAGGTTAGCTGCATGGAGCGATGCTTCCTTCACAAAGGATTGATATGACGAGACTCATGCAAACTCCGGCGCGAGGAATATAGCCATGATTGATGCTGAAACGAAGATCCCAACGCGCGCTTTTCCGATTCCGATGCTCAAGCTTCCGAGCTTTTGGTTTCCGTTGGACTTCAAGTGGAAGTTCTGCCCGGTCCTTTTCCCAAGGCTATTTGATGCTGATCAAAGCTCACCAATACACGCACTCTGTCCTGCTTCCTCGACTGTCCTTCCAGGCAGGCTTTGTAGAAGCTGAATTTCAACTTCATGCGTATCGAGCTAGTGAGGCTGGTCATCTCAACAACAAATCTTCAGCAAGGGCGGAGCGTGAGCAAGGCACCACGCGACCTTTGTCGCCGCCGTACAAAGTCCAACTGCTTGCGAAGCAGCGAATGAAAGCCAAGGCAGCTTTGGGGCTTAGGATCCCGGTTTGTGCTGAGCACAAGTGGCTTCAACCAGACCAGAGCTCCTTCAGCGATGCAGTTGGATAACTTCAAACTGTAACTGCAGCCGTTACTGTTTGTTTTCATACGTATTCATTGCAAACAATCAAGTTGAAACTTTCTGCGTCCTGACAAAGTGCAGCAGCAACAGTCGCTCCGTTTGCGGTTCCAAGAACACTTGTATCTCTCAAAGGAGCAGTTCGAACACCTTTGAGGTGTCGGAGCCCGTCCAAAAACAGAGTATAAGAGCGTTTCTCGAGCCACAACTGCTTGATGCACGAGATGGACGCCTTGCAAATATTTTGCTCTTTTTAGGATGATCTGTAGCAACTTGGTCTCTGCATTGCTTCTAGTGCTTTTAGTTGACCGGTTTTCGGTGCTCCACCTGCATCTCCCTCAAAAAGAAGCACCACTTTCTGCATTTGGAGCAGTCTGAAGACCAGTTCCGCAAACCGCAGCAATGCAATCAATGCAGGGAATGTTGCGAAAAATAATCCATTCCAGAAACAAAAATCCGCAAGATTGGCTCGGTAAGTTTTGAGAGAAAAGTGACCGGGTGACGGATCTCAAACCGCACGAATCAAATGAAAAAACATCAATGCTTTCTAGAGAAACACGCGACAAGTGCCATTTTTTGTTGCAAACATGCGAAAAAATGCACCAGGCTCAAGCAAGGAAAAACATGCACTCCAAAATACTGCCAAAAAACAAAAAAACCAACACAACGTTTCAAAATTGAGAAATACAACAGAAGAAAATGATGTTTTTTCGAATGTTTGAAGCGTTAGATGACTTCCAAGCCTCTCGAGGATGTCAGTGCACCACTCTGGTGGTCCGGCATACTGGTAGTCTTCTTTTGATTTCTTTAAGCTGGCAAGGCAGTCTCTGCCCTGAAGTTTGGATCGAATGGAAGTTCGACTTCTCTCCTTCTCGTCATTTTCTCTCGCCCTGCCGGTTCTGTTCCGTAGACCTCGAACGCACGCATCCGCGAAAGCTTCCAAGGCGAACGTCGGCAAACGTAGCAACCGGAAGAGCACACCAAAGACGATGAGATCGCACCCTGCAGAGCGACTCCACTCATTAGAGACTGTGCGCGCGTGGAGGCTGCGAGTGGCACTTTGATACTTTGCGACTCCACCGGCTTGGCGGCAGGTCCGACAAGGAGGAAAACGTGTGCACCATCAGCCGTGTCCACCAGAAGTGCCTCCCCTGTTGCTGCTGCACTTGNNTCAATTTCCAGACCGAAAAACCCTTCCAAAACGTGTCCACCACAAGGGCCTCCTCTGTTGCTCCTGCACTTGGTAAGGACGCAGAAAGTTCAACTTGATTGTTTGAAACGAAAACGTGTCAAGACAAGCAGTAATGGCTACAGTTACAGTTTTGAGTGCTCAATTGCATCGCTGAAGAAACGGTAACCGATTGGCCACTTGGAGAAGAGAAGCACCCACCTGAATGGACGGAATGCCGAAATTGCGAGCAATCAGTCAGAGGTGATGAAAGGTCGCAGAGACAGCCACTGATCTGGTCTGTGCTGATGCCGGCAAAGCGGAATAAGAGTGGACGGGAAGGCAAGGCTAAAATACCCATGAGAGCTTGCCGGTGTCCATTAAAAAAAGAAAATTTATCAAAGAAATGTCAACATAAAATAAATTTATGTTTTTTTCTTTTCTGCCGTCATGCGAACGCACTCATGCTTCACGTTTTGCGAAGGGATTCGAGTTTAGTTTAGCTTTCAACTTCGGAGTGCGCGAGCGAGTCGTTGACTGGATGAGTGTCCTAATTCTTTCTTCGCAAAGTGCACGCTGGTTTCTCTGGCATATTACTTCGCTGCTGTTTTTTCGAGGCCCCGGACAAGCAGCTTGCGATGTCAGACGCTCGAAATCGACAGACGGTCGCAGGGAACTTACACAACCGCTGGTGAGATAGTTAGTTCTGGTCCAGATGTTACAAAGCAGCCTGAGCAGAGTGGAAACCATGTTGTCGTATTTATGATGTTGTCAGAAGACCCGGCCAGAGCCAGGGTGTTGCTTCCGTAAGGGTGCTGTGAATGCGTTTCAGACTCGACAAATGAGCAGGGCCGGCAGCTGTGTTGACGTACCGAGAAACTTTTCGGCAGTATGCGACGTCTGAAGAAGGTGTTGACGTCTGTGCTTCAAGTGTGTTGGCAGGAGGAGCGGTTGAGGGGTTGTGTGTCGGTAGGGTGACAGGGCCGGATCGGATCGCTTTCGGGCTTAGGCTCCTCAGCGTCTTGTTGCTTGAGCGTGCTTATGTCCCGATGTAGAGTCAGAGTCTGTGCGTGTTCGGGTGAGGAGGATATGGATGTGCGGGATTTTGGAACATTCATGCCTAACGGCAGATTGGCGAATGAAATCATTTTCGAGTTTAGCTTCCAGGTTCGAAAAATTCCATACATGCCACCCGGACAAGCGCCCTGTGATTTCAATTGCGCGAAATCGACAGACAGTCGCAGGATTGCTCCCGCGACCGATGGATAAAATAGTGAGTTCTCGCAGGACAAGTATGCATGTGTTGCAAGTGTGTGAGATGTTGGACCATGTCGGATGTCCAGAAGCGGTGGCTCGGGTTCAGATTCCACGTTCGCGGCTTGTCCAGGTTTTAGCAAGCAGCTTGAGGAGAGCGGAAACCATGTTGTCGTTTTTAGATGTTGTCAGGAAAGCCGGTGTCATGGCCAGCGTGTTGCTTCCGCGTATAAGGGTGCTGTGAATGTCGTTTCAGACTCGACAAACGAGCAGGGCCAGCAGTTGTCTTGACGTACCGTCTGAAGCAGGGGTGAACGTCTGAGTTTCAAGTATGTTGCAGGACCAGCGGTTGAGGGGCCGTGTGCAGGTGGGCACTGAGAGGGCCGGGTCGTCTTCGGGTTCAGGTTCCGCGTCTTGTTGCTTGAGCATGTTCATGTCCCGAGCTAGAGTCAGATTCTGTGCAGGTTCGGGAGACGAGGATACGGATGTGTGGGATGTTGGAAGGTTCATGCTTAACCTTAGCCTTGCAAAAGCAGGCGTTGTCGGGTTTAGCTTCCAGGTTCGAAAAATTCCATACATGCCACCCGGACAAGCGCCCTGTGATTTCAATTGCGCGAAATCGACAGACAGTCGCAGGATAGCTCCCGCGACCGATGGATAAAATAGTGAGTTCTCGCAGGACAAGTATGCATGTGTTGCAAGTGTGTGAGATGTCGGACCATGTTGGATGTCCAGAAGCGGTGGCCGGGCTAGGCGCCGCCAGGATTCAGATTCCACGTTCGACGGCTATGGATGTTGTTCTGGTAGCCACGTGTGTGCAGGGGAGACAGCCAGTGTCCAGACATTAGAAGGCAGCCTGGGCAGAGCGGAAACCACGGTCTCGCTTTCAAGATATTGTCAGGAAAGCCGGTGTCATGGCCAGGGTGTTGCGTCTGCGCAAGGGTGCTGTGCATGTCACATGTCATTTCAGACTCGACAAGCCTTCGAGCTGGGCCAGCAGTTGTTTTGACGTACCGAGAAACCCTGGCAATACGGTGGAGGGGCTGTGTATCGGTAGGCAGTGACAGGGCGGGGTCGTTTTTGAGGTTTAGGTTGCATGTCTAGTTGCTCGAGCGTGTTTATGTCCCGATCTAGGGTATTTGTGTTTACTCAAAGGTGTTTACAACAGAGCTACATCGCTTTTGTACTTCTGATTGCTTGGTGATTTCATAGTGCTACAGCCGCTTTGCTCAGCAGTAGCTTCGCACATGTTGTTGCAGCAGACATGTGGTAGAAAGCGGCTGTAGCTTCTGGTTGTGAACAGTCAGATTCTGTGCAGGTTCGGGAGACGAGGATACGGATGTGTGGGATGTTGGAAGGTTCATGCTTAACCTTAGCCTTGCAAAAGCAGGCGTTGTCGGGTTTAGCTTCCAGGTTCGCAAAATTCCATACGTGCCACTCGCGCAAGCAGCCTGCGATTTCAGACGCTCGAAATCGACAGACGGTCGCAGGGTAGCTCCCGCGACCGATGGATAAATTAGTGAGTTCTCGCAGGGGAATCGTGCAAGTGTTGCAGGTGCGTGAAATGTTGGACCATGTTGGATGCCCAGAAGCTGTGGCCGGGCTAGGGCCCGCTAGAGTTCAGATTCCACGTTCGACGGCT